AAAAAAAAAAGGAATGTGTATTCTGTTATTGTTTAGTGGAGTGTTCTATAGATGTTTATTAGGTCTCGTTGGTTTATAGTGTTGTTAAAGTCCTCTATTTCTTTACTGATCATCTGTCCAGATGTTCTATCCATTATTAAAAATAAGATATTGAAGTCCCCAACTATTGTAGAACTGTCTATTTCTCCCTTCAATCTGTCAATGTTTACTTCATATGTTTTGGGCCTCTGTTGTTTGGTGTGCATATGTTTATACTTGTTGCCTCTTCTTAATGAATTGACCCTTTTATCAATATATAATGGACTTTGTCTCTTGTGACAATTTTTGAATTAAAATCTATTCTGTTTGATATAATCTTATATATATGTCTTTAATATATTATGGTGGGTACCCTATTACTATGACATTTTTATTCTATGGGAGATATTTAAAATAATGAGGTTACAGTTTTATTTTTAATGTCATCTTTTACAGAAGGCTGGAAATTACATTCTTTGAAATGATTTAAACTTATGATAGGAAATTGAAAATTTCAATTTGAAAATGTGTAAAGATTATTCAAAAAAAATTTTTTGAAGGTGCATTAGTCAGCTCAGCCTGCCGTAACAAAATGCCATAGACTGGGTGTCTTAACAGTAATTTATTTCTCACAGTTCTGAGGCTGGAAGTCTGAGATCAGAGTGCCAGCATGGTCAGGTTCTGGTGAGAGCTCCTTTCCTGGTTTGTAGATGGCTGCTTTCTCATTATGTCCTCACATGACAGAGAGAGACAGAGAGAAAACTCTCTGGTGACTCTTCTTATAAGGACACCAATCTCATTGTGAGCTTTCCACCCTCATGACCTCATCAAACCTAATTACATCCAAAAGGCCTCATCTCCAAATACTATCACATTGTGGGGTAGGGCTCAACACATGTATTGGGGGGAAGGGGTCACAATTCAGTCCATAGCAAAAGATATGTGAATAGCTAACGGGCTCTGTTTAGATGATCAATAAGTGATCAGGAGGAAGGGGCTTACGGATCTAAACAGCAGTAGATAGACCCTGCCTCTCCCCCTGCTTTCCCTCTTTTCCTTTGCCTGGGCCCTTGGCCAGAGGTGGAGGTGGGGGAACTTTGCCCAAGATTCTGCTCCTGGACCTCTCCCTCTCTGTGTACATTCTCTCCCTGGGTGAGCTAGTCCCCTCTCACACCCTCAGCTATTACTGTGTGAACAACTTTCAGAATCCGCCTCTGACCTTGATCCTGAGCTCTACTTCTGAACCTACAATGTATAGTAAATATTAAAAATTTAAACAGTTAGAGATAAAAAATTGTTAAACTTGTAGTATTTTCTCCCAGTTTTTTCCTATGCATATTTTGTGAAGATTTCTGAGCTTAAACTAAGTCGTGAAGAGCAGAAGTCCAGGATCCACAATGAAATTAGTCAAAATACAAAAGGAAGCAGGTTACCAAGTGATTTAAAATTTGAAGCCTGATCCCACAGAATTGTTACTGACATTCTTAGGTCTACCAGTTCTCCCTGCCATAAACTGCCTCATTATATGTGAAACAAGAAGGAACAAGTGGCGAGGGTGGTGCAGGTTTTGTGAATTTGTAAAATTTTAGCAGAGCTTTACTAAGTGATTGCTAAGTAAATTCCCTCTCCCTCTCTCTTTCTCTCTCATTTCTCTATCTCTGCCTCTATCTCTGTGTGTGTCTCAAGTTTATTCTACGTGCACTTGCAGCTACCAGGACAGTGATGTTTCTACTCACAACATTATAAGTTGATATCATGAATAACTGACATTTAAATTTAGCACTTCAGTGAATGGGTGGTGATAAAATTGAAGCTGTTCCCCCAAATACTTATGGAAATCCATTCCATTTTTAAAAACTTTCTTGCACAAAATGTTCCTGGACTCACCATTCTTAAAATGAAAAAGAAAGAAACCTGCCTTCTTGACATTCCTTAGTGTGACTTTGAATTTTATCTCACACCAAGTACAAGTTCATACTGGAAGCTTTGCAGGCTATCAATAGAACTCTGCTCACCCGCCTTATTTTAAAGCTGAAGCATGTTAAGCCCTTTAAGCCTCTCCTCATAAGACATACCCTTCATCTCCCAAATTAGTCCTGGTGCCTTTGCTGGATCCTTTCCAAGACTCGGATATTCTTTTAAGCTTCATGTCCCTGTCATACACCATGCAGTAGTTTACAATCACTGAGCGTTCCATTGCCTTAAAATTTCATTTAATTTATGGACCCTAACAATTTTCAGCCTCCATGTCTTCTCCATGCTTACAGTGTTTATAGGAAAAACACATTTTCCTAATTCTGATGACTATAGGTTACATGTGCAATAAATTTATTTTTCGTAAGAAACCAAAAAGCAAACCAAAATGAAACAAATTAAAAAAACCAAAGTACAGTGTAACTCAGAGGTCCCCGACCCTGACCTATGACTTCCCATCTGCAGGTGTTGGCTCCTACTATCTCCTGCAGCTGAAACAGCATTCCTTCCCACCATAGTGGTTCCAAAGCTGATGCATTTTGGAAGGATAAACTCTAAGGTGACTTCCTTCCTCCACACAGTCTTCTCTAATGCCCCAGCTAGAAGTTATCTCTGACTTCACTGAATACTTTACATATATTCCTTGTATGGTAATTACAGTCTAACTCCTATTGTTCTTACTTATGTGTCTTATTGTTTAAACCAGAGAGCTTGACCTGGTAGCCTGTGAGCTAAACCTAGTCTGCAAGTGAATTTTGCCTGGCCGGCACACTTGTTTCATGTAAAAAATATAAAAATCATTTAAATCATGAATTTCTGGCTTCTCTTGGAAATACTGGGTCCAGACAGAAACCATAGGCTAGAGCTGAGGAGGGGTCACCCCAGTTTGCTTCTTGGGCCACTTCACTCATTTATGTTAAGTATGGAGCCCAATTGGGCATTTGAATTTGCAATACTTAGTCAAAACTTTGGTATTCTTGAGGCAGCATCTTGTCTTAATTGTCTTTATAGCTTGCAACAGGCATGTAGTAATTTGTAGCTGAAAACAATAAATGCCTATGGATTGACAGGTAAATCTTTCTTTTTTTTTTATTTTTTAGTAACTTTGAGGTAATGTCAATGGGATCCGACCAATTTCTCCCATTCCCCTATTTCATCATAACATCTTATCTATCAATAAGTATTTATTCACCTTCTACTAGGCACTGAAAGCTTGGAGATACAAAACAAGCAGGTGTGGCACCTTGCCCTGCCCCATGGGGGTCCCATTTGAGGCAACAAGAAATAAGCACATAAAATCATTTGTGAGCAAGATGTCATTGCCATTTCAAGGCAGCACAGCAAAGTTTTAACAGATGAGACAGTGGAGTCAGACAGAGTTGGGTTTATATCTCGGCTCTGTACTTACAATCCTGCAATGTATGGTAAAGTATTTAACTTTCCGAGCATTAGTTTCCTCACCTGTTGCTGGTCCCATTTCAAGATTTAGACGGGGACAACAATCACATCTGCCCCGTAGAGATGCAGGAGGGTTAAATGAGCTGACACGTATGAAGTCCTTGGCACAGTGTCTGGACCTGGTAAATGTCCTACAGATGGAAGGAGTTACTACTGGCAGCTAAACAGTCCAGAATCATCTATAGAACATATAAGAGCATCTAATCAGTATGCAAAATTCACCGATCCCTATTTCCCATATACGTAATCTGTATTATCAGTTAGTCTACTATACTCTACTAAAAAGTGGCTGCTAAATATTCAGTTTACTCCTATGTGCGATTGCTGGCTTTGTGTGGGTGTGATGGAAAAGATCAGTTTGTCACCATGAGTCTTTTCACACTGTGGACATGTAAATACCAGCCCTTGGTCTGCAGCTGCAGCTGCTATTTGCAGCACTGGGGCCTCTGACATGGGATTCTGCAGCTCAGATTTATTTTCTGCCCGGTGCCTTTGTTTGAAAAGACTCTGGTCCTGCTCAGCTGCCCGGACCATTGCTGCTGTCACACAGGGCCCTCATTTTCCTCCCTGGTTGAAGGTGTGCTTCTTCCCTCATCTCACTCCCAGAAAACTCAGGGAAGTGACCATCATCATTTAGTAAACGTTTCCAGTGTCCCAGGCATTCTGCTAAGCATTTTACATGCATTATCTCCTTTCATATTGATAAAATGCTGCATTTCTATCTTCATTTTAAGATGAGGAAATTGAGGTACAAGGAGGTTAGATAATTTTCCATAGCTCACAGTTAGGAAGCGGTGGAGCCAGTATTTGAAAGAAGGTATGTTTACCAGAATCCAAGGTCTTAACCATTAACCTATATTTCCTCAAATAAATTTAGGTTGGGCTTCCCTGGTGGCGCAGTGGTTGAGAGTCTGCCTGCCGATGCAGGGGATGCAGGTTCGTGCCCCGGTCCGGGAGGATCCCACATGCCATGGAGCGGCTGGACCCGTGAGCCATGGCCGCTGAGCCTGTGCGTCCAGAGCCTGTGCTCTGCAACGGGAGAGGCCACAGCAGTGAGAGGCCCGTGTACCGCAAAAAAAAAAAAAAAAAAAAAAATTTAGGTGAATATCTTTCCTTTGAAAACACATGTCTCCCAATCCTAAGATGTTCATTGATCCCTTAGCATGACAAGGAAGGTGGCAAAGATGTGTCCTGTCTAGGCTCAGTTCATAGATCTCTGTAGTGCCACCTGCAATGCTACTTTTTAAGGGCTCTGGGAAAATGAGGAAACTGCAGTGATCAACTAGCAAAGTCTGCAAAGGACCTTCAGTATGTCTATCTATTGATTATGAAGGGGAAAGTTCCAGAAATAAAAGTTTCAGTGTCTTAATTTTGAGGGATGTATCAATAGAATGATTTCATGACTTAGGACCACAAGGCAGACAAAGTCATAATAAGCATCATATAAAATATTCCTGAAAGTTAGATTGGCTTTAGTTTCCATCAAGAAAAATAGAGAAACATTTTCATATCTTAGTATTTAGTCAAGTTCGAAGTCTTTTAAGTTAAAGGGAAAAAACATTTATGTATCTTCAAATCCTGTTAAGCCCAAAAATCTTTAGATATAACTGAGAAACCCAGGAGCATATCTTAAAAGCTGAAGAAACACAAAATGAAAGGAAGTGATCAGCTGGGTGTGCAGTTGGTCCAGAGTTTCAGATACCTGACAATAGACAGAGAATTGGGTAATGCAGGTTAGAGGGCAACCGCCTTTCAAGTTTCAAGACCCAAAACACAGTGACTGTAAGAAGAAGCTCAGGTTGACAGTGGAGTCAGGAGAAGAATCGCTAACTATCTCTGGGGTTCCAAGTCTCAAGTCTGGACCAAATCTCCAGTCCTAAAAGACCACCACTAACTGGAAGGTATCTATCTTTACTGGGAAAGGGCAACCTCAGTTAACTAGCACAGTAATCACCTTCATTAAGCGAGAATAATGAATTTGTTTTAAGACTCCAGGAAGATTTAGAACTAAGTGTAGCAAAGGTTGAGAGAATCAAAACCATGGTATTCTGTTAGGATGGCTATCAAGAAACAAGTGCCGGCACTTACTGGTGAAAAGGGAATCCTTATACACTATTGGTGGGATGTAAATTAGTCCAACCGCTATGGAAAATATGGAGGTTCCTCAAAAAATTAAAAATAGACCTACCATACCATCCAGCAATTCTGCTTCTGGGAATATACCCAAAGGCAAGTAAACAGGATTTTTTTTTTTTTTTTTTTTGCGGTACGCGGGCCTCTCACTGTCGTGGCCTCTCCCTGTCGTGGCCTCTCCCGTTGCGGAGCACAGGCTCCGGACGCCCAGGCTCAGCGGCCATGGCTCACGGGCCCAGCCGCTTCGCTGCATGTGCGATCTTCCCGGACCGGAGCACAAACCCGCATCCCCTGCATCGGCAGGCGGACTCTCAACCACTGCGCCACCAGGGAAGCCCATGAACAGGAATTTGATGAAACATATATACTCATTATTGTAAATACACTTATTGCAGCACTATTCACAATAGCCAAGAATGCCCATCAGTGGATGAATGAATAAAAAAGATGTAGAAAAGACTATATACACAATAAATACTATTCAGCCATGAGAAAGGAGGATATCCTGCCATTTTCAACAACATGTAAGGACCTTGAGCACTTTGTCAAGTGAGATAAGCCAGACAAAGACAAGTACTGTATGACATCACTTATATGTAGAATCTAAAAAAATAAAACATATAAAAACAACAACAACAGAGAGCAAAATGATGGTTACCAGGGAATAGGGGGTGGCGGGATAAGATTAATAGTGTTTAAGGGTACAAACTTGTAACAAGTACTAGAACAGTGACAGGGATTTAATGTACAGTTTACTGAACATAGAAAATAATACTGCACTGTAAGTATGTAGTGTGATAAATATCATAACAATGGCAACCATATTAAAAATATAACATACCGAAGTAACATGATGTACACCTTAAATTTATACAATGTTACATATCAAATTTATCCAATAAAAAAATTTTAAAAACCATGGTAATAATATCTTTATTTAGCACTTGGCATTTGTACTGTGCTATTTAGGAGACAGTCTTGTAATTCCAATTTAAATATGTAATTGAATAAATGATTTAGATTTGTGGTTTTAAGTTGAAATCTCACTGAGTTCATTAGCAGATCTCAGAGAATTTTATTTTACACATACACCCAGGGTTACTTAAGTATTTAAAGTTTTATTAAATTCATAAAAGTAAAATCTTTAAAAATAAAACCAAATATAGTAAATTTATAAAATCTAGCCTATTAGAGTAATGTGCTGTTTAGAGAGATAATTTAGCGAACCAGATGTGTAAGTGGAACAATCTGATTATACTATCTCCTTAAAAGTGATGGCTAAATTTTGCCAGAGGTAAAAATATAATCACTAGATTTGTAAGCTCAATTTAAAAGCTTAAAAAAAAAAACCCCTAGGTTTATGAATGTGTGATTATAATCAATTTCATGCTGAGTTTTTATTCCAAAGTCAACTCTGAATGATCTTTTCTGCATACAAAAGCTTCCAGCTCCACCCTAAACCTTCCATGCACAGGAAGCATCCTTTACCTGTCATTAAATTCAATTACAGTCTCGAAATAAACAAGACTCCTATGCCCAATCCTTAAAAGAGAGCTGAATTCAATGTAGCTCAATGCCCATTTATGGAGCATGTCCTCTGGGCCTAGCACAGTGTTAGCACTGGGTATTCAACAATGAAAGGACCTAGCGTCTGCCCTCAAAGAGCCTATAGTTTGCTGGGGAGACAGACACCTTGCAGGTCACCACATTATCACACTCAAAGTAGTGCATGGGTTGAACATCTTTTCAATACCACCCAGTGGACTACAGCTCACTGTTGCTGATGCCATCTTGCCATTGTTGGTTAAGTATGGTTTGCTGGTGAAACCAAGAAACTATGTAAGAAGCCAGATATGACTTCTTTCACTGGTTAAAGAATACGTTCCCAACATAAAGACTTCTTGGAGTCTTGGAGTTGCATTAGACACACAGCATGACTTGCTTCTCCCATATTCTTTATCAGGGTTAATAACTCCACCATTAACCCAATCATCTGAGCCAGAAAATTTAACTCCTCATTGACCCCACCATTCTCCAAGATCTACTAAGTCTATTTCCACCGTAACACCGTGGTCATTTCCCTTCTCAGGGACAAAGAGAGATTACCATAATTGCACACATAGATCAAGTCACCTGTTACATTCAAGTGTCTTTGCTTCTGTATAATTTGCCTCCTGGGACATACTCCCAAGTAGAAGATCAACCGAGTCACATCCCAAACTTATTTTACAAAAATGACCTAAACCTCCAGTAGCACTTTTTTTTTTAAACATCTTTATTGGAGTATAATTGCTTTACAATAGTTTCTACTGTATAACAAAGTGAATCAGTTATACATATGTCCGCATATCTCTTCCCTCTTGCATCTCCCTCCCTCCCACCCTCCCTGTCCCACCCCTCTAGGTGGTCACAAAGCACCGAGCTGATCTCCCTGTGCTATGCGGCTGCTTCCCACTAGCTATCTGTTTTATATTTGGTAGTGTATATATGTCCATGCCACTCTCTCACTTTGTCACAGCTTACCCTTCCCCCTCCCCATGTCCTCAAGTCCATTCTCTAGTAGGTCTGCGTCTTTATTCCCATCTTACCCCTAGGTTCTTCATCACCATTTTTTTTTCCCCTTAGATTCCATATATATGTGTTAGCATACGGTATTTGTTTTTCTCTTTCTGACTTACTTCACTCTGTATGACAGACTCTATCCAGTAGCACTTTTAAAATCCTACAGTTTGCATGTCATCCTGGGCCCTCCACACAGTACCTTGGCCATCTCCCATGAAGTTTGGATCTATTCTATAATCCCAATTAGGAAATTTAAAATTTTCTCCAGAAAGGTCTTAAAGAAGGAGGAGGTTCGGTTATGCTATCCAAGAGCCTCTTAGATTAAGAACGTCACCACAAAATTTCTTCTGATCCTCATGTGCTGTCTGAATCCCCCAGGCTAACACCACGAAGCAAATATTTAAAAACTGAAACTAGGACAACCAACTTGGAAAAAATGCTTGGCACCATTTACAAAGGCTGAACATGACCTGGTAATTCCACTGCTAGCCACCCAATAGGAATATATTCTTATGCACACAAGATAACAGCAATAATATTCATAGTATCAAAAAACTGGAAATAATCCAATTGTTCACCAAGACTATAACGGATAAACTGTGATCTATTCACACAAAGGAATATTAGATAGGAATGAGAATAAATGATATGGATGAATCTCACAAACTAATGCTAAACAAAAGCTACTGGACACAGAAGATAACACACTATACACTTCCATCTTATGAAGAACAAAATAGGTAAAGCTAATAATCTATGCAGTTAAAAGTCGTAATATTCTGCTTTTCAGTCTAGATGCTGCCTCTACACAATCTAGTTGCTATTGAATCTAGATGATG